GGGAACCAGGAGGGGAGAAAAACAGTTGAGAGGAGATATGGTAAAAATAGCCCACCAGTAGCAGATTGATTAAAGGAAGGGTGAGCAGGGGTGGTAATTTAGCTGAGTATAAAAGTTGGCCCCTTCTACCCCTGTCACAGTGTTTCTTTAGCGATGAAATATATTTAACTCACGGGCACAGAATTCTTATATTATGCAACTGATCCAACTTAGCAAGGCCCTAAGCAATTCAGCAAGGCCCTTGCTGAATTGCTTAGGCAATATGCTGGGCAAGGCTCTGGTGGCCAAGGAAGAAATGTTATTGGAAAAAAGGAGGGTATGTTAGCGCAGAATTCTCCACGACTACATTTGACAACAAAGACCAGTGTTTTCCAGTGGATGTGAAGAGGTATTAGTTCAAAGAAGTTTGGGGGAAATCATTAAACATTACATAAAGTTAAACAGGGTTATTTACTGTTGGAAGGTTCAAAGCTTTTCAAATGCCAACATACACTATGGATAACTTAGATGTAATGTCTTGAATTTCTGCAATTCACTTGACCACGGTACTAACTCTGCCCTTGTTTTTCTTGAGGGCTCTGTAGATTACAGTTCTAAAGGGAATTCTCTTGGCCAACCTGGGTTATATAATGCACTCCTGAATTTGTGACCATACTTAGAGAGAGAGAGAGAGAGAGAGAGAGAGAGAGAGAGAGAGAGAGAGACCAAAACCACATTCCTCAATATTGTAAGCAATAGACAATATTGTTCTGATCGCAGGTACCAAGTCACACTTAGTGATAATAATTTATGCGGGATAGACAAAGCGGGGTTAGGTGGAATTTTGGTTTAGAATGGTCACAGAGAGCAYGGGCATGAAAAGCTGTAAGAACAGTAAAAACCGAGATTCAGAAGATGAACAGGGCAGGAGAAGGGCTACCTACAATCATTAAATGGTGAGGTAGAGTCATCAGCACCAAGGACAGAGAGCCTCCCAGGGAGACAATCAACATCAAGCAGCCCAGGTGAGAGCTGGAGGTTAGGGATGGAAGAAATTGTAAGCGAAGGTGGGTGGAGAGGGAGGAAAAGGAGGAGGGAAAAAAAAGACTCCAAGAAAAGAAATGTAGGGTTCTAAGTAAATCAAAACTCGGGAGGCAGACGGAAAAAAGATCCAGACAAACAGCCCGGGTGATCCTCCCGGGGAAAGGGAAGGCGAGGAAGGCCACTAGAACTAGCYGTGACCAAGGGAAGGGGAAAGAAGGGTACAGGGAACAGAAGAGCATCTGGAGAAAGGTGAGGAAAGATTTTAAGGACAATCAAAATAGCAGAAAGGAAGGTGTGAAGAAACACCCAGATTTCAGACTCTGGGTCGACGTTGTTGAGCACCATAGACCCAGCAAATACAGGGTACCTGGACCTCTTCCTCACCCACAGCAGATGTTATGAGTTGATTATGGCACTTTTTCATCTGGAAAGATTTGGCTCACAATGTTAGGTAGCTCCCACCAGCAAGTTGGGGTTGGGCTTGATCTTGGTTAAAAAGCTTACATTATTGGAATTACCCAGTTATTACACTCCCTGGCATATACCCAAAGAACTTAAAATCGGCACACTACAGYGACACAGTCACATCAATGTTTATAGCAGATCAATTCCCAATACTCAAGTACCTCTTCCCCCCMAAAAAAGAAAAGATAACAAACCCAAGCTATGGAAACAACCTAGGTGCCCTTCAACAGATGAATGGATAAAGAAAATGTCGATATACACAATGGAATATCATTCAGCCATAAAGAAGAATGAAATCATAGCATTTTCTGGTAAATGAATGGAGCTGTAGACTATCATGCTAAGTGAAATAAATCAATCCCCCCAAAACCAAAAGGCTGAATGTTCTCTCTGATATGTGAATGCCAACATATAATAAGGGGGAGAGGGAAGAATAGAAGTTCACTGGATGAGACAAAGGGGAATGAAGAACAGGGRGATGGAAATAAGAAAGACAGTGGAGTGAATGGGACAGAACTTTCCATGTTCMTATATGAACACACACGACCAGGGAAACTCCACATCATGTCCAACCACAAGAATGGCAAGTTCTACTCCATGTTTGTATGATATGCCAAAGTATACTCTACTACCATGTATAACTAAAAAGAATAAATTTAAATTTTTTTTTTAAAAGCCTGCACTACAAATTGAAACCATCTGGATGTGGTGGTGCACACCTGTAATCCCAGAGGCTYGGGAGGCTGAGGCAGGAGGATTGCAAGTTCAAAGCCAGCCTCAGCAATTTAGCAAGGCCCTAGGCAACTTAGTAAGACCCTGTCTCTCAATAAAATATTTTAAAAAAGAGGTTTGGGAATGTGGCTCAGTGGTTAAGTGCCCCTGGGTTCAATCCCTGGTACCAAACAAAAACAAAATGAAAACCAAAAAAGTAATCAACAAACCCTCTGTAGGATTTGAATAATTCTCAGTGATGAAAGAGGAATCTTTAAGAAAAAGTGCATGTCTGCTGCAGTGGGAGAAGCTGATGGGTATGGACATGATAACATTCACGTAGGGTCAGATATAAAGAGGGGTGTGAGCTATGAGMGTTTTGCGTGGGGACACCCAGCTGTCTCCATTTGTTTATGAAACTGTTTTAAATGCTYGTAAACACAGGAAAATCAACTCATCATTTCCTTTTCCAGCTGAARCTGTGAAACACAATAAAATGACATGAATCGCCACTGAGTCGAAATAGTCCCCAGGACGCAGCAGCCTGTTAGRCACATCGCAGGTTTTCTCTTTCCTCCTTTATCTGACACCATGTTGGGCCCAGCCTCTCTAGAGGTTGTCAGAAACACTAAATATGTTTTTCTTTCCCCGAGTGTCACTCATTTTTTCCCCCCAAAAGCACCTATAAGTGGTCATCTTAACATCRCTGTGTTGATCATGAGCAGGCCCTGCAGGGGACACTGGGATTTCACCCATGGTAGAGCAAAAGAGGTGGCCCTCGCTGTCAGCGTGGACCCAAGTTGAAGACAAGGGTCCCCACGCTCTCATTCACTGCACCCAGCTTCTGAACACCCCGGGCTTTGCCTATTGATGCGGAGGACCCCTTGACGGCACGAGGCCCTGGTTCTCCGGCAGCCTGGGAAACCTTCAGGGTTTTCTTTGAACTGTTTTGTCTGCACATCCTGGTGAGTGATTCCTGTTCCGCCAAACAGCTCAGGATGCTCTGGGGGAGGCCAGGCAGTGAGCCGCTGGTGGAGGGGACTCTTTTGAGGACTCTCTGATGAAGTCACACCCCACCACCCCCACCATCAACAAAAGGTGCTCCTTAGTCTAGGTGGCCTCACAGAGATAGGAAAGGAAGGGACCGAGGCAGGGGTGGGGAGGGAACACAGCCGTGATCTCTCACGAATCCTTAAGGCTTGAGATTCTATTGACCCGAGTGAATTAACCATCACCCTTCCTGCTGACCATGGCCCCAGGATCCTGAGTGATCTCCTGCGTCACCTCCGGCCCCTTCCTCTRCAGCCAAAGAGATCCTTCCAAAACACATAGCCCACCACTCATCCCTCAGCTTTCCCCYCTGTGGGATGGCCACTGCCTGTCTCTCTGGTGGCTTAGGGAATTCTTCCTCTCCAAACTCCAGCACCRCTGGCCGTTTTTGAATCCCTCCTTGCCACAGGCCTTAGCTGACCACAGGACCTTGGCACAAGCTGTTCACACCACCTGGTGGCTCTCCACTCYGCCTCCATTCTTTGACTTTCATGATTTATATTAAACATTTCAGGTATCCTAAGGAAGGCCTAACTGTGTCCCCACAAACTGGTTCAAGTGTCCCTGCTATCTTGAAGGACTTTTTTTTTTTTTCTCAGCATTTATAATTTAGTTGACCCTTCATATCCTAGAGGGATGGGTTCCTTTCCAGATTCCACCTTTTCTCCCTGTAGATATCAAAATYCATGGGTCCTCAAGTCCCTTACAAATATGGCATGGTATTTGCATATAGCCTATGCACATCTGCCTGGGTACTTTAAATTATCTCTAGATCACTTACAATACCTAGTACAATGTAAGTGCCATGGAAATAGTCGTTATCCTGTGTAGTTTAGGGTTTAAGAAAAAGAAAAACAGGTCTGTGCCTGTTCAGTTCAGACCTTTTTTTTTTTTTTCCCCTCAAACATTTGCACTCCAGTTAGTTGAACTGATGGGCGTGGAACCCATGGAGCCATAGAGGGCTGCTGCCTTTACAGTTCTCTGTTTTTCTGACGCCGCCCGAACCTGTGAGCACTGCACGGCTGCAACAGGGACCTTCTCCTTCCCCCTCCTCCATGCCACCTGGACACAGTGCACATGGCAGGAAACTGTGTCGACCTAATKAATTAATGTCCCGTGTCCCCTATAACACGCTGTCTGGCTAATGTACTTCGGGACTCATAAAGATCTTGAAAAAAAAAATTATGCTGTAAACCAAATAGTAGTTAGAAAAAATACAAAACCAGCTGGGTGCAGTGGCCCATGCCTGTCATCCCAGTGCTCAGGAAGATGAGACACAGGAGGATCAAAAGTTCAAAGCCACCTCCACAAAAGTGAGGCCCTGCACAACTCAATGAGACCCTGTCTCTAAATAAAACACAAAATAGGGCTGGGGATGKGGCTCAGTGGKTGAGTGGCCCTGGGTTCAATCCCCAGTACCTCTTTTCCCCCCMAAAAAGAAAAGATAACAAAACCAGTTTATGTCAAGCTCTCCTGCACACACGGTGAAGCTAAGCAATCTAAGAATACGTAAAGATCCTGGAAAAGAGGCCGTTTCTTCCATTCCCTTGTGTTCTCAGTTTAGAAGGGACTGGAACCTTTATTGTGGCTGCCAAATCAAACATGTAGTCAAGTCATCTTGTTGGATAAATGAACCAGGCGAGTGCCTGCTCTGTCCTCCGGGGGGAAACCCGACTTTGATCTTGGAGCTGGCCAAGAGGGAACCCATGGCGCCAGCCCTCTCCAGATGGATCACAGAGAACCCCACTCACGTTGGTTTAGAAGCCTCRGCCTGGTCCGTCTGCAGCTTCTCCCCTCCTTCCACCTCCATGGTGCAGTACACGATGCGGTTCGGAGCCAAGGACTTAAGGCCTTGGACTTCCATGATCACCACCTGGAGACAGGACCACACGGGGGGGAGGTTAGGGTCAATGTCCTCAGATGGCATCTCGGGGGGAAACGGTGTCTGGTGTCCACCCGTGGTGCTGCACCAGTCTGGAAGGAAGCTGGGGTTCCTCATAGTGCAGCCAGTGGTCTCCCGGCCGGAAAGACAAGCTTCCTGACCCAGATAYTCTCAGGTCCAGGCAGGCCATCCAAGTTAATCAGACCTCTTTTTCCATAATGAGCAAATAGGGTCATTTCCCGTCTCCCTGGCCCCCACTGCCATTTCCACCAAGAAATAGATTCTCTCCTATTTCCTTAAAAAATACTCTAGCCTGTGATTCACTTCTTGGCAGATACACAAGCAATGAATTCACTTTCTCCTTACAATAAGGTAAGTGATAGCACCAATAAAGTATGAGAAAGGCGAGGACCCGTCGACGTTACAGTCAGAGACGCGATAGGGAGCGGTGGGGACTGTGGCAAGCTGGAGAACTCAGGCTCCGTCTCAAGGGAGCAGTTTAGAGTCACCAGATACTCCAGTTTTCCTACCAGAAAGTGAGAATGTGAATCAGCACTGCAGTCAGAAATCTAATTTTGAAATGTCAGTGATCRTCCAAATGAAGAGGAATACTATAGGAGAACTCTGTGAGGGCCAGTGTTGTTGAGTCAGAACAAAAACAGATCTGGGGCTGCACAGTCTCTGCGCAAGACTGAGGGAAAACACTGGTGTGGTCAGGGACCAAGAGGTATTATTGGCTATTTCTCATATTTCCCACCACCACCCTTAGCTGCATTCGATGACCTGCTATTCTAATATTTAGTGATTTGGGGTCTGCTCTGTCATGAGAGAGGAGATGGAAGAGGGGAGAAAGGAGAAGGGAGAGGGGGAGGAATTTAAGAATCAGAACCAAATCACCATCAGCCAGCTACCATGAGTAAYGTGTGTGAAGATCATTCAGCTGGACTCTGGAAGAAGAAACACCATTACAAAAGGAGGACTAGGTGGATAGGAAAAATACGAACTTTCCCACTGGCTTAATTCAAGGCAGAACAACAGGGCTGTCACATTTGCCATACAGTTCTCAGACTCAGTATGAATCAGAATTGTTGGTCGGGCTTGTAAAACCAGAGACTTCTCTCTGATAGGCAGATGCTACCCCACAATAAGTGGGGGAGGGAAGACTGGAAGTTCACTGGATCCTACAAAGGGGAAGGAAGGGAAGGGAGGGGCATGGGAACAGGAAAGACAGTGGAGTGAATGGGACAGAACTTTCCTGTGTTCATGTATGAACACACGACCAGGAAAACTCCACATCATGTCCAACCACAAGAGTGGGATCCTGATTAGAATAAGATGTAATACATGTTTGTGTAAATATGTCAAAATAGATTCTACTGTCATGTATAACTAAACAGAATAACAGCATACTGCAGTGACACAGCTACATCAATGTTTATAGCAGCTCAATTCACAGCAGCCAAGCTATGGAAACAACCTAGGTGCTCCTCAACAGATGAATGGATAAAGAATATGTGGTACATATACACAATGGAATATTACTCAGCCATAAAGAGGAATGGAATTATAGCAAGTTAAGTGAAATAAACCAATCCCCCAAAATCAGGGTTCTCTCTGATATGCAGATGCTAACACACAATAAGGAGGGGAGGGAAGACTAGAAGTTCATTGGATTAGACAAAGAGGAATGAAGGGAGGGGCAGGGGGAATGGGAATGGGAAACAAAGTAGAATGACAGAACTTTCCTATGCTCATATATGAACACACAACCAGGGAAACTCCACATCATGTCCAACCAGAAGAATGGGATCCTAATTAGAATGTTACACTCCATGTATGTATATGTGTCAAAATACACTCCACCAGCATGCATATCTAAAACTAACAACACCTACAACAACACAAAGAATAAAAACATTAATTAAAACAATAAAAAGAATAACAACATCAACAACAAAAACCTTAGAGATTTCTGGGTTCCACACTCAGAATTTCTGATCAGTAGGTTGTATGCAGCCCAGGACTTTGCATTTTCAAAATTTTCTTAGTGATCCTGCTGTTGCTGACCCAGGAGAACAATTGTATTACTCATGTGATGGTGGGAAGACACCTTGACATTGAACCTGCCTCGTTTTAATTTCAGATTAGAAGAGTCTGAGCTTTCTTATCTGCAAAGTGTGTGTGTGTGTGTGTGTGTGTGTGTGTGTGTGTGTGAGAGAGAGAGAGAGAGAGAGATAATGATATGTATCTTGTGCCTGTTGTGTAAGGATCCAAAGTGCTAATGGGTACAATTGAATATTTTTATCCAGGGAAGAATTACATACATGGAAAGAAATGAAAGGCACCTTGGAAAGAGCACAATTGGGGGGACTTTAATAGATCTCGTTTCAAATCTTGATTCTAGGTCTTTACTAGCTGGGCAATCAGTTTCAGGTGTATTAACCTCTCTCAGACTTTGTTTCCACATCTGCAAATACCTCCAAGGACCACTATGATGCTACATGCAGTTATTGAAGGTGAAATATCCGGTGCTTATCAGCAYTCTACACCTATCGGTTGCTTTTGACCAAAATGCTCCCCTTGTCTAATGCCGGGCACGCAACTTGGCATCACAGATTCTTTTCCCCTGTGCAAAGCTAAGTGCTTGCTGGGGTCCCTTCTAGGCSTTAAGAAGGTGGGAAAGAAAATTTACAGTTCACCATGAACTGATGCTAGAAGGAACCCAAATTTTAAGCCTTCTAAATTGAAGTGCATCGAGTCTTTATGAAATCCTTCAGCACTGTTTGAAGATAGGGGAGATTGCATTTAGTAGGTGGTTCTTAAGATTCCATTTCCTCAAGAAAAAAAAATGTGTGCTCCTGGAGAGGGTAGAAGCACTGGCTGATTAGCTGACCTGTGCTCAGCAAGCTGTTATTTTAATAACTGCTCCCAGGGTTCAAGGGGGGGAAAGAGGCTGATTGTGCTGTATCTAATCACTCAGCTCTGGCCTGTGCTGCAAGGAAGCTTTCAGGGGTTTAAGGCTTTTTACCTCCAAGGAGAAAGATAGCACGACATCGGACTTGGACAGTTGGTTCTCGCTTTCCTCGCCCATGTCGATGATGGAGGCGTTGTGGCTCCGTTTGAGTTTCTGAAGCTTGAACTCCCCGCCTTTGGACACGGGCATGCTCTCCAGGTTGGCCATGAGCAGGTTGACGGAGGACTTCAGCTCCTCGATGTACATGTTCTCCATTTCTTTGGAAACAAACTTGGGAAATTTGCGTTCCTTGAAAAAAAAAAAAAAGCAAAATGTGAACAAAGGAGTAAACAAAAATTGGAATTATATAGAAAGATTTTGTATCATGGCCCGGAGTTAGGATGCATCTACCCTTAATGAAATTTCCCCAAATATGGTGGTATTCTACTAAAATATGTTCAGCCTTAATGCATAGACAGCAAGCAGCCAAGCAGTCTGCCTTCCGGTTGCTTGTGATCTCTAACAGGTAAAAAAAGAACATACATATCCACATCTGGTAAGAAAGAGTTGAATGTTTTATTAAAGTTCTAATTTTTTTTTTCTCTAGCAAATTTGATTTGTGGAAAGCAAAATGGGGTGATTTTTTTTCTGTTCAAATGATTTTCTTTTTAGCAAAACACAGTCAAGTTGTTTTTAAGTTATGGAAACAGAAAGACACCCTATTTCTGGGATCTATAGAGATTTTCTCACATGAATAATTCAAAATGAATTCATTTGAGATGTTTCAAACACWTCCTGTGGCTATTTCTAAGAAGAATACATATCGTTTTCAAGAAAAATGGAAAAAATTAATGAAGTGGTGAAAAATGTGATTAAAATTCTTTAGAAAAGAAGAGAGTGTAATTCAGTATCAAAACAGACCTGTATTTTTTCCTTCCATACTTATGAGTTCAGTTCCAAAGGCAACGTACCCCAGCTTAACCGTTTGTTTGCCTATAACTCTAAGTTGTCCGGTACCTTAAATATCATTTGGATCAATCACTAATCAAAGAACCATTTCTCACTTGGAATATGGAATTGCCCTCCCAATTCCCAGTCCACAAACAGTGACGTAAGAAGCAAGCCAAGTCAGTTGACTTTTCATTTTTATTTTTTGCAAGGGAGAGCAAAATACAACAGGAACTGGCTTCAACAAGAAAAGGAATTGATTGGCTTGGGAATGTCCTGGGTGAGACCCAGCTTCAGGCAAAGCTCAGATAATGTCACCTTCATAATCTTGGTTTTGGCTTCTCTGGGATGGCTTCATGCTCAGTCTGACTCCCCTTAACCCATTAAGTCCCACATTTACAAGGCTGTGAATATTTCAAGAAAATTGACTCAGGTGCATTAAAATCAGTTGGAAATAATAATCCTAAGCTTACCTGGAATATTAATATGATTATATAATTATATTCTTATTATTACATGATTATATATTCTATACTAAATTTAAGTTTTTATATGTGTTCTCCCTGAGATGCTGGGACAAAATGGGCTAATGTCATAAAAATGTTGCTTATGATTTGGAATTCACTACATCCCATCTCAGAATCTACAGAAAGACTGATTATTTCCCCTTGTAACATCCACAAAAGATGGAGAATCTTTCATCCCAGAATTTCTACCTGGAGTCTGATTTATGCACATACTCTGAAGCCATTTCTGTGGGCACTATTACCCTGTGCCGAACATATAGGAATGCACCACAGTGAAACCCCACATCATGTCCAACAACAAGACTGGGATCCTACTTAGAGTAAGTTGTACTCCATGTTTGTATAAATATGTCAGCATATACCCTATGGTCATGTATAAGTAAAAAGAACAAATAAAAACGACACTGGGCTCTCTGGCTTAGGCAAGGGTTCCATCTTCCATCCTAATGGCTGGGGAGGGGACTTCATTATATAGCTAATAGTCCATCAGATGAGTAACTCTCTTAAGCAATCAAACTAAGAAATACTGAGATTAAAGTTGGTTGATGAAGTTGAAAACTGAACAACTGTGTCAAATTAGGGTTGGCTGCCTTATTGGACCAGTCCAAAGCCGAATAAGACACTTGACAAGCAAGAGAGAAAGAGGTAGCTTATAGATGGAGAAGGAAGGAGAGGTTGGGACACGGGTAAAGAGGAGGGAGAGGAAAGGAGCGAGAGAAGAGGTTGTATAGAGTCATGGGGAGAAGCTTCAGCTGGTAGTGGTTTTCTCATTTTGCAGAGCCTAGTTATTCCTCTTGCATTTCAGTTCCTTAGGAATCCCTCATTTTCCCATCGACACTTCCCCTAACCCTTAGTGAGCTGCAAGAGTGTTTCTTGTCACCACATTGGTGCCTATGCATAGAGTCTGAAGGTGCCTTTGTCCTGTGCCAGTCTTCTGCAGACCTGGAGGCTGTCCTAAGGGTTCTTTCTGTTGACCTCTTCCTCCCAACGTCACTCCCATCTTCCATATTGCAGCTTCAACATGGCACTTTCTGTGTTGGGTTCCCCAGTTGTACTTGCTTGTGGCCCTAGCTCATCTTTGTGGCAATGGTTTTTGAAATGAACTGAAGGTTTGTGTTCCTCTCAAATTCACTAATCCCCACAGGAAGACATCTGGAGATAAGGTCTACGGTTGGCGATGAGGTCTGATGAATGGACACAACCCTTATGAATGGAATTAGAGCCCTTAAAAGAGCCCCAGAGAGTTGGTTTCCTCTTTCTCCCATGTGAGGATAGAGTGTAAATAAGGCTGTCTGTAAGCCACGAAGTGGGCCCTCATTAGGCACTGAATCTACTGGTGACTTGATCTTGGTTTTAACAACCAACAGAGCTGTGAGGAGCAAATTTCTGTTGTTTATTACCCATCTATAGTATTCTGTTATAGTAGCCTCAGTAGAATAAAACACTTACTGTAATTAATAGACCAATTGTGAAATTTATTGTTTAAGATCYATCTTTCCTGTTGCTCCATGAATCAGGACTGTAACTACCTAGGTAYTTCTGCTAAATTCTTGGTATCTAACACGCAGTTTGACGCGTCATGAACRTTCAGTACATGAGTTGTGTGGACGGACCAATGGCTTGTCAAAATGTCCATATTGAATATCAATGTAGGTAAAACTCAATGTAGGTAAATATAGGTACCTCAAGGTAGGTAAATATCAATGTGGGTAAAACTATGAGATGAGAGATGATGAGTCAAGTTCTGGAAGAACCCTGAGATGAGATTCTGCTTTTCCATGTAAATGAGTATGGGGTCTGAAATTTGTCATTCGGAGGATGGGTTCCTTCTGGAACCTCTGCTCATACTCACTTCCTGATTTAGAGATGGGCTCCGCCCTGTGTGGTGCTTTCTGAACACACTGTGGGCGAATGTGAGAGGAGAATCTGGATGAACACTTCTGAAATGGAACAATAGGTTTATGAAGCAGCTGGTGAGGATTCAATGTCAGGGCYATTGACATTCAATCCCCAGAGTCTTATTTCTCCAAAACATCTGCTTAGCAGGTTTGATTTTTGTTTTTTTCATTCTTAAACTTGCTCAGGGGGCAGTTGTTAGCCTTCCAACTTGGATATCCTTTTTGTCAAAGGCCAAGAAAACGTGGGGACTTGCCAGGGGCAGTGTTAGCTTTAGGGCCATCCTGGGAAGAGGGTATGAAGTGTCTTCCTGGAGCTTCCAGCCAGTGAGGAGGAAGATCTATAAGGGAACACCCAAGCACAGCATTCACTATCCTGGAAGTACACAAGGCATCAATTCTTTCTGAGAGATTCAGGGTGGTTCTGGTGGAAGAAGAGTTTCCTACCAGRGCAAGTTGGCTCAGACAGGGCCACTGGGAATTTCTCCTTCCCATGGAAAATATTATAGGCACGTGTGAATTCAAGGTCTATACAATTGTACACAATCCACAAAATATCTCCCTTTAGAGCACGGCTCTTCTGCAAAGAAGACAAAGTAGGTTGACCTGTGGTCTGAGATGGTCCTTAGGCTACGTTAAAGATGGCCAAACAGTAAAGGTTGCATCCCAAGAGGCTGAAGTATAGATTGATGTACCTCTTTTATTCTCATATTGGAGCTCAAACCTTAGAGAGCTATTGGGGGGGGGATTTTGGGGGGAACTGGGTAAATGATCTCTGTGATTTTTACCACCGGTTTCTAGTTTTGTGGTTGCAGGGAGATGAAGGGAAAACAACAACAACAACAACAACTAGTATTTGTAAACTGTTTTTTTTTTCCTGCTAATAATTTTTTAGAGACTGTATGGAGTGCAGTCCCTCCCCTCACCCCTCCTGGGGACTATCTGGAGAATATCCCCAGTCTGGACACTTTGGAAGAAGATTCAGCAGTTATAAGCAATACCGTTCTGGCACAGAGCTAGCTTCCACCCAACTTTAGGCAGCAGAATATTGGCAAATCTAAAGAATGATTACTCCTCCTGAAACTTGGACAGTTTCTAATGACATCATAAAAAGAAGCAAATAAAATGGAAGTCTKCGAGAGGAAACAAGGCCATTTTTTTCCTCCCTGTTCCAAGTACTTAAGCCTTGAGAAGAAATAGCCTTCTGTCAATCTAGGCTGAGGTTCTTGAGAGCACCTATCAGTGGCCCATTACACACACATTTCAAAGCTGCGGTTGAGCCATAATAAGGAAAACAGAGCCTTCCATCTCTAGTGCTCCTTTGCAAGCAAAAAACCGAATTAACCTTGACAAAAGAACCGTTTATGCATATTGCTTCATGAAAGATGCAGTGTAGGGGTGGACAGAGTCCTCCAAAGAAAATCTCCACTGGTCATTTTTTTTTGTTTGGGGATGATAACACTCCTCCAGGGGGAGGGCCTCTCAAGGACAATCCTCACCATGGTTATTTATGTTTGGCCACGCTGAAGGATTTTTGGAACATCTTGAAAAACAGCATTTGAAAGTCCTAACAGCTCCTTTAGCTATTGGCTTTTCTTTGCTATTTTTGGATTGTTATTTTACCTAGAGAAAATAAAGGGGGTATGGGTAAAAACTGATAATGCCACCCTTGCTCAGAGAGAGGGTCCTGGTACCCAAAGGCTCAAATGACGTATGATAGAATGTGTCAATCAGGAGGCATGTGACCAGAGGGTGCTGTCTAGACACAGGTGCTCACTAACAGTGTGGCAGCTTTTTTTTTTGCCCAATCCCTCAAACACTCTTGCTCCTATCATTTGTCCCCTGGTGTGGTGGTCACTGGGGAGGAAGAAGTTAGGAGTGGGGTGAGTGACGGTAGAGGAGAGGCATGCCCCAGAAAGCCACCAGATAGACACAGAAG